CGCAAGACAACGGCAAGCAACGGGAAGGCACCAGAGAGAACGGGAAGCAACGGAAGACAACGTCGGCCCGACCGTTTCCGGATCGACCGAACTCCCTACCGGCTAGAGAACATCGGATGTCAAACACTTCCGAACAAGCTGATGCGGGAATATCGAACCAAATAGATCGGATCCAGGTGCACCCTGAAGGGAGGGATGAGTATCGTTTCACCGATCCCCATCCTTACCGGCCTGACCTGGACCCCACTGGCCGATGTACCCCCCTGGATGGCGACGTGGGCCTTTCCCTTCGGGTTTCGAGGGGTGCATCCCCAACTGGGGTGGTTAAATTTGGTGGGGGCCTCGACGGGGACGGGGATGGGGATGGGGACTGGTGAAACGACACCGTACAGTCGAGGCGTTGACCTAAGGAACCATAAATAAGGAACGAGGCCCCTTTCTTCATAAGTTAACCTTCGACTTCCCATCGAAAGCTTAAGGAAAACCTTGGGCAAGGTGTGGAACAATTGAGGAACACCCAGCCCCTCCCCAACGAAAAGGGTTCCTTCTTCAGCGCCCCGACTGTAGGGAGGCGAGTGAGGCGAGGGGAGACAAGTAATTCTGCAGTGCGGAGCGAGGCTGGCCCTCGCGGGCCAGGCGCCTCAGTACCCAGCCGGCAGCCCCATGTCCGCCCTCGGCTTCTCGGACCCCCTGGCGCGGGGCAGCAAGTGTGGGAAGAGGGGGAAGGAAGGGAGCAGCAAGCCCAGAGCTCCTCTGGCCGTGGAGACGTCACGACGGACAACTTGAAGCTAACTTTCGCACTCCAAGAGCTCTGTCGGGGCCTCGGGGCCTCGGAACTGTCTTGAAACTGCACAGGGTGCAAAACCGGTCCGCAGGAAGGGGTCTGGCCTCTGCTGGCCCACGCCACCATCTTCGCCATTGGTCCTATTTCTGCCCCTCGCCCTTCCTTGTCCATCGTCCCCATCCTCCTCATCCTCCTTCTCCGCCTCCTTCCGCCCACCTCGGTTCCCCCTCACTCCCCTCTCATCCCCGCCCCTACCCCCCCGTCCCACATCCCAATGATCCCCTTCCTCCTCGTCCTTGTCGTCATTATCGCTTTCACCTGAGACCTGCCCTGTACCCTGAGCGGATTTTGTTGACGGCTCCTGAGCCTGAGAGGGGCCCCTGGAGCTCGAAAGCGGCGATAGACCTCTGGACCCGTTCCTCTCTGGACTCGCTCGCTTTAAGGCGATCCCTGCCCCTCCCCTGACTCCTCCCCGTATTCGTCGCCCAGACCCAACTGGCCCTCGCCGTTCTCATCCGCGTCCCCTTCCTTCCCCACCCCCATCTATGTCGTACTCCTATGTTGCACGTCCCGCATGGGAGCGGAAAAAATGGTACGACGCCTGATATCAACACCTGTCCAACATCAGCACCGGCCGATGTTCAACAACCGGCCTGGTGTCTCAAACTGACAACGTCCGCGGCGACACCGACAGCGAACCCTGCCCCGAATGCACAGGAACGTCTGCCCGTCTGCATCCCAATTCTCCCCGTGCGCACTTCGATCGTACCAACCCTCCCTCCGCCTCGTCGTCGCTCTCCGCTGCGGGCCCCTGGCTCCCTCCCTCCGGGAGGCGTGTCTACTCGTAGGGACTATGCCGAGGGACCCCGGCGGCCGCCGGGCCGACTCGTGACAGGCCGATCCGGAGAGTCGCATCCCCCCTATTGCTGGCCCGTTCCGTGCTCGACGTGCTCCCCGGGAGCCAGCTCCGAGGGGCCTGCCCTGACCTCACCTCCGTCGCCCTCCTCCCTCCCTGAGGGAGGAGGAGGAGGAGGAGGAGGAGGAGGAGGAGGAGGAGGAGGAGGAGGAGGAGGAGGAGAGAATGAGGAGGAGGAGGAGGAGGAGGAGGAGGAGGAGGAGGGGGAGGAGGGGGAGGGGGGAGGAGGAGGAGGAGGAGGAGGAGGAGGAGGAGGTTGGAGCGTCTGGGGGGTGATTCTTTTTGAGGTTGGAGCGTCTGGGGGAGGAGGAGGAGGAGGAGGAGGAGGAGGAGGAGGAGGAGGAGGAGGAGGAGGAGGAGGAGGGACGGGGCGGCGGCCGTCCTGGCGCGCCCGTGGTCGGACCAGACCACGTAGAGCACGACGGCGAGGGCCGTCAGGCCGCTGTAGACGACGGCCATCGTCCAGATCAGGGGGTTGCCCTCCATTGGCGGCGCGCACAGGGGGGGGGAGTGAGCACAAGGGGGTGGGGGGAGGGGAGAGGGCTTCTTAGAAAGAGGCCGCTTCCTAGAAGGCGCCGGCCTCACATCTGTATAGATGAGGCCCGCACCTGCTAAGAAGCAGGGGTGCTTCTAAGAAGCCCTCCCCCCTCCTCCCACCCCCCTCTGCGCGGGGTTGCCCTCCGGGCGGGGAGGGAGCACGGGCGGCTCGGTGGCTGCCCGTGGGAGCCTCCCGTGCCATCTCGCTGGCCCCTGCGAGTCGACGCTGCGCCGACGCCGATGGACGCCAGCCGGCGCCGAATCGAGGCGGATCGACGCCAGTCGACGCTCGTCGACGCCGAGTCGGCGCTCCCTCATCGACTACTGGACGCTGATCGACGCGACTGCACTCTCCAAAGATGGTCTTGCGAGGGTCGGACGCCCGCAATGGGTCCGAAGAAGCGGGTGCGATGCCCAACAACGAATGTTGTCCAAAACCGGCACCGGCCGCTGTTGGGCGTGCGGCTGTTTGCCTTCCATGGACAACGTCCGCGGCGGCGTGGACAGCGAGTCCGGTTCAAAATGAACAAGAACTGCTGCGGTCGTCGTACCAATTTGCTCCCGCACCCAATTCGTTACCAGCCTGGAACATATCCCTATCCCAATGCTGGGCATCTCCTCAACACGATGCCGATCTTAGGGATTCCCTTATTTTTTGAGGGCGAATCCCTGAGATTGTCATCGCCTTTTGGCGTGTCGATCTTAGGGATAGGGATACGTTCGAGGCTGGTAAATTCGATCGTCCCGAGTAGCCAAGGCTCCCATGATTTGCAACCGACAAGGAGCGGGTGGGCGAGGAAGGGGATCACTGACCAATCTGCCAGGTCTACTGCGAGCGGGCCGCTTTCCGACAGTCCTCCGGGACCAGCATAGGCGCTGCCAACTGGGGGACGCCCTTCGCCTGGGGACAGTCCCAACCCGCAGCCTGACGCAGAGAGGCGATGCCAGGAGAGCCCCCTGTCGATCAGCCCCTCCTCGATCCGAGGGCAAAAGAGTGGCGGGCGGGGGAGGATCAGGGCAGTAGAGCCCAATCGAATCGATAAGTCGGATCGGCGATCGAAATCAACCAGATCGGCGGAAACCAGCAGCCGAATCGCGAAAAGTCGAATCGGCGGAAATCGGCAGTTTAGTAGGCCTCCGTTGAAAAATCGGAGCCCAAATCGGAATCCGAAGGCGAATCGAATCGGAATCGGAAACCATCGAACTCGAATCGAATCGAAGCGGAAGAATCGAAGGGGGCAAGCGAGGAGTGATCAGGGACCTATCCGCCACCGTGCCCCCGTGGCACGGAGTGGAGTGTCCCCAGGTCCTCTGCCCGATCCCTCGAGCCCTGGTCCTCAACCATGGCATGAGGGCTCGCTGAGAGTTTCCGCATGGCTGTGTCGCAGCAGGGTGGGGCCATAAGACGGGCCACACGGGCGCCAGAAGGCCGCCCTGGCGGTCCACGAGGGCCCCGACTCACCGAAAAGTCACCCCAGGACAACCAATATGGCATCAAGATGGCCCAAGATGCCCCCGAGACGTTCCAAGAGGAGGCGAGGCCTCCGAAGAGGGCCCGAACAGGCAACACACACACACACACACACTGATGTGTTATGGGTGTTCAGAATTTCGGCCTTCTCGCCTTTTCGGCTTCCCGACGCTCCAAGACGGCCCAAGAGACCAGCAATATCGCCCCAAGACGGCATCCAAGAGGGCCTCAAACGGCACAAGGGGGCCCCCAGTCCGCCCAAGAGGCCTCCAAGATGGGCCAAGAGGCTTCCAAGACGGCTCCAAGAGGGGCCCAGACGGGGGATCCGAACAGACAGTTCGAGCCCTCGGCCCCCAGGAAGCCCTAAGAGGCCCCAGGAGGCCCGCAAGAGGCATCCAAGCGGCCCCGAGATGCCCCAAAGAGGCCCCCGGGAAGCCACCAGCAAACAACTCCAAGAGGCTCACAAGGCTCCAAAGGAGCTCCCAAGAGGACCGGAGCTGGGGCAGAAGGTCATTCGATTTGCTCGGAACGGGGACGGATCGAGCTCGTACTCTATCAGGGCGCGAGATCGCTTGCTGTGCCTCGGGGCAGTCTTGGTGTTAAGACTTTGGTGCGGCAAGGGCCTCTCTTGGGCCGCCTTGGGGCCCCTTTGAAATCTTGGAGCCCTCTTGGGCCGTCTTGGGGCCGTCTTGGGGGGCCTCTTGTGCCGTCTTGGGGCGATCCTGGAGGCATCTTGGACCGTCGTGAGCGCTGCGAAGACCAGAGAGGCAGATCTGCTCTAGAGACGCACGTCTCCCGTTGGGAATAAAGAGGTTGTTGCCTCTTGGGCGTCCTTCTGGAGGCCTCGTGAAGCGTCTTGAGGACATGTGTGGCCGTCTTGAAGCCCATCCTGGGCCCTCTTCGAATGCTCTTTAGGCCTCCCTGCGGCCGTCGTGGAGGTAGCTTTGGCGCTCTTGGGGCTGGCTTGTGCCGTCCTAAAGCCCTGTGAAGGGCTGTTGGGGCTGACTTTTGTGCCGTCTGGGGCCGAGCATGACCTGCTCGGCACGGGGGGGGGAAAGCGCGTGTACTTCGTGAGGCCGCACGATCACTTGCGCTGAGCCTTGCAGCCCTGCTGATGTTCCGATTGTGATGCGGTAAGCAAGCATCTATCACAACACCGTGCGAAACGCAGTGCACATTGCAATTCCGGGCAGTCCTGGGGGTTCTTTGGGGGCTCTGCTGCGCGATCGCGGGGCCCTCTTGGGCGGTCCTTGCGCCCGTTTTGGGCCGTCTTGGGGGGGGCTTGGGCCGTCGTGGGGCCCTCTCGGGGCCCTCTGGGGCCCTCTTGAGGACCTCCAATACCCTCTTGAGGCTCTCGCGGGAGCCCGTTCTCCAAGATGGTCCCAAGATGCATCCAAGACCGCCGTGATGGTTTAAGAGAGCCCAGGCCCAAGGAGCCCCCAAGAGGCGTCTGAGACGGCCCAAGAGGCCTTTGAGAGGTCCTCCGGGAAGGCCCGAAGTGGCCAAAATGGGTGTTCCCCCCCCTTCCCACGTGTTTGAAGGATTTGGGCATTTGGCACGGCCTTCCGACGGAAATACGGCCCAAAATGCCTCCAGGATCGCCCCAAGACGGCACAAGATGCCCCCCAAGACGGCCCCAAGACGGCCCAAGAGGCGCCCAAGATTGCCCCCGAATCGCCCAGATGGTCCCAAAGATGGCCCCAGGACGGCCCAAGAGGCTCCCAAGACAGCCCCCGCAGTGCCCCAAGCCGACCCAAGAGGCTTCCAAGACGCCCAAGACAGCCTTCAAGACGACCCTGTAGCGCCCCAAGAGGGTCCCAAGACGGCAACGAGAGGCTCCAAAGACGGCTTCCGACGGCGTCAGGCGGGCCCGGAACGCGGTAAGTCTGCCAAAGAGGCCCGCAAGAAGAGGCACCCAAGGGGCCTCCAAGAGGCTGCCAGGAAGCTCCCAGGAGGCCCTTGGAATGCCCCAAGAAGCTCCCAAGAGGTCTCATCCGTCTCCTCATCCATATGTTTCCTCCCTCTCCTCATCCTCCTCTTCCTCCCCCAAGTTCTCCCCGAAAGGCTTCCACACCGTCTGGGAGAACACATGGTCCAATAGCGTGTTCCAAACGTTTGGCCACATAGGCGTGTCCCAAAAGGCAGGGGGCGGCGTGTACTTGCCGTAGGCGTCTTCTAGAAGGAACAGCAAACCGCCGTGTCGAACCCTAAGTGTTGTTTGTTTCAATGTCTTCAAGGTTGTGCGCTTCGATGCCGCCCTGTCGTTCATCTCTGTACTGTCTACGGCTGTCCCGATCAGTGGTGCGTCACCGTTTCCGCGTTTACCTCGACACGCATCGAGCCCGCCGTAACAATTGCTTCCTGCCTCGATGTGAGGGGTCCAAGAGCCCCTCTCAGTCTAGTTCGCAAGCCACCACTTCGTGCGCCACACGGGGCGAGTATGTCTTCCCGACAAACACCTATCCACCATTACCTCACCATGACCAAGACGGGTAGTGCATTCGCTTCAGTTTCCCAGCATCGTGTTCTCAATGGTGCGACGCAAAGTCCGTCCAACCTGCGTAACGCCGCCAAGCAAACCAACTCAGCAGGCAAGCAAACAAGCAACCATCCCATATACCAACCAGCCAGGCACCAACCCGGAGGGGAAAACTGGCCGCACGCAAACATGCGAAAAAAACACCTTGACGATCATGCAGAACACCTCTCTGGATTAGTTTCTGATCATGAGTCGCCCTCCTTGGCAGGTAACATACGTTTCCTGAAGTGAACGGGCCCTAGACCTCGAGGCTTACCACCAAGACCAGCCCTTCGTCCAGAGCATTATTTGACGGCCCTGGGGCTCCTCCTCCTCCTCCTCCTCCTCCTCCTCCTCCTCCATCTCATCCTCCTCCTCGTCCTCCTCCTCCCCGTCCTCCTCCTCCTCCTCCTCCTCCTCCTCCTCCTCCTCCTCCTCCTCCTCCTCCTCCTCCCTCGCCCCTCGCCTTCACGCCCACGCGGTCTTGGGCGGAGATGTACGAGGAGGCGTACGTGCCCTTGGCGCTCCTGTCGACGGGCGCCGAGAAGCTCTCGAAGATGTTGGCGCCAGCAACTGGCCCCTCACCTTGACGGCACGCACATAGGCAACATCCATCAACATCGAACCGGGGAATCGGATCGGATCGGATCATGCGTCGGATCGGGCTGCATCGGCACGGAGCGAGCCGAAATCGACCCTGTGACGCCGCGCTAAGATGCACGACAATGCAACGTAGGCATCGGTCTGCACCCGGTCCTCGGAGTATTGGAATCGAATCGGATCGAGCTGGTCGGAATCGATCGAAACGGATCGATCGAACTGACATGGGCCCTGCAAGGAGACTTCTTGGGAGCTTTCCCGCCATCTCTTGCCGTCGCTCGAATTCTCTTTTCGTGACTCTCCCACCGATCGGTGCGGTATGCTCGACTTTGAAGACAAAGGCTCCCGACCCGCCTCGCACACCCCGCGTACCGCGACCGCTGGGCTCCGAGGATTTCGACGCTCCCTGGGTATTTCGCCCCGCGTCTTCGACAGGTGACGGCTGCACACCGCGGCCGTCCTGCCCCTGGGGGCCCGGCGCTCCCTGGGGATCATGGCTTGCGTTCTCGGGTGGGGGCCGCTCCAAGCAAAATGCGTTGTCTTCTTTGCTTCCCCCATCCGTCTCCCCGACGGTTGTCGGAATCAATGTATCGGGCTCCTTACTGCTCCGTAGACAGGCCTGCGTGTGCCCAAGCCGGGCGAGTGGACCCGTGCGGAGGTGCACCCGGAGGTGCACCCAAAGCACCAAAGCCACGTGGAGTGACGTCCAGCGCTCAGAAGCTCTCTCCGGAGAAACCCAGCGCGACATGAATCTGGCGCTGCTTCGAGCCATCCCCGCCCAAGAACGCGAGGCGGTGAACCACACAACACCGACCTGTCGAGCTCAAAACGAACTTCGGAGGTCCACGCGGATTCCTTGGGTCGGGGATGTTGGGAACCGAACTCTATACACCAACGTTTTTCCAGCCCTGCGCTGAAGCTCTCACAAGAAAGCGGATCCTGGTGTACATAGGGGTCCTGGTGTATACGTGTTTCGTTGTTTCCCTGGGGAAGCGGGGAACAAGTATACACCACACCACCCCGACGTCGTCCTCGACCCTCGAGAAGTCCTAGGATTGACAAAACAAGCCGCCACTGGTCATGTACACGTTCAAGTTTCCGAGGGTGTGAACGGGCCCCAGGACATACAAATAAATACACACAAATCAAAAGATTCCCTGTGCTTGTCCCAATGTTGGTTTTTTTTGTTTCCCCCCCCACTTCCCATATTTTCCTATGTCTTCCTGGGAATCGACGATTTTTTGTGTCTGTTTTTTTTTTCCCCCTCTTGAGGATGGGCCTCCTCCCCCGACGCGCTCCGCGTGCCCAGGGGGCGGCCCGACGCCGACGCGGCCCTCCGGCGTGCTCCGTCTGAGCCGCCGGCGGAGCAAGACTTAACCGGCGTCGACGACACGCCGCCGCGGGGGACCCATCCGCGCGCCACTGCTCCAGGGTTTGGCCGGGCGTGTCCCCTGTTGGCGGACCTCGGACGAAGGATCAAAAAATAATCCGACAAGTTCCCCAAAGAGCAGAACAGTAATACAAACAAACGTCCCCAGACTATTTGTTTGATTATTTTTGAGGCTGCCTCCTGTAGATGATATAAGTATGTGGGGCTTTTCTTCGGTCGCGTGAATTGTTGACTATGTTTGAATCTGCCTCCTGCAGAGGCACGCGCCCGACTTCCATGCCAGGGGCGCCCGGAGCTCGGACGGAGACGAGGGAGCATCGCGCCGACGGGCGCCCCGCGGCGGCGCGCGCTCTGCTCTCCGACGTCTCGGGGGGGGGGGCCCGCGGCGCTCCTCCGAGGGGCACCCGCCCCTGCGCTGGCAGCGAAGGTCGGGAGCGGCCAAGAGGGGGGTGTCCAAGAGGGGGGGGTGCAAATCATGACCGGCGGCACGTGCGCGGCCCAGCGGGGGGGCCAGGGACGTAATGACACAGAAAGAGGCGCCACGAAACCTGTGGGAATATATCATGGCCCCCGCCATGAGTTATCCGCCCCCCCCCTAGTCATCACCCCCCTCTTTTCCGCCCCTGCGCTGGCAGCGAAGGGGACTTGGCGACGAGAAAACCGGGCTGCAACTGATTGCGGGCGGCCGGGTTGCAAATGATTGCGTTGTCGGGTTGCGTCGCGTGGCATCTTCGAATTACTCTGCCGCGTCGCACCATGGCGTGCGTCGCCGACCCGTGCCGTTTCAATGTGTGCGAGGCCGCGCGCTGCTGCGATGCAGCGCGATGCTGCTGCCGAGCGGGCGCTCGATCGCGGTTGAACTCCCTGTGCCGCGCCGCCCGTGCCGACGCGCCCTTGGCGCTGCTCTGCGCCGTTCTGCAACGCGCGGCTCCGCCGTGGAGCGGAACGCCACACTACTTGCCGCTGGAGGTCTAGGGGCCCACCCCGGGTCGGGCGAAAGGGGGGGATGGCAAAGGGGGGGTTCGAGAATCAGCTCACGTAGCTGATTTCCCCGGCGCCTCCCGGCGCCGGAGGCGGCCATGTATCGAGGAATGGGCCCCTCGGTGAGGCCGAAACCAGCTGCATGCAGCAGATTTCGCAACCCCCCCTTTCCCATTCCCCCCCTTTCGCCCGGCCCGAGTCTAGGGGCCCACCCCACGGGGCCAGCTTTTGCCACCCCGGGCCCTCTTGCTGACGCTCCTGGGGCCCTGGGAGGCTCCGGATCCGGTGGCCGAGCGCCGGCGAGAGCGTCCCACAGCCCGCTTCCCTCCAGGACTGAAGGGGCCCCAGGACACACAAATAAATACACACAAATAAAAGGATTCCCCCATATTTTGTTATATTTTCTGGGTTTTTGTCTTCCCCCCCACTTCCCATATTTTCCTATATTTTCTGGGGAATCGACGATTAATTGTGTCTGTGTGTTTCTCCCCCTCCTGAAGGACCTTCTTCATCCTCTATGACCATCCACGGTTAATCTACTGCCACAAGGAACGCCGGGTGAGAAACCACGCCCCCTTTCAGGTCACAAAGACACCACACCTGGGTTTGGAAACAGACCTGAAGACAAGATGCAGGGGGGGGGCGCCAGAGATGAACAGCCACGGAAGGACAGAAACAGCTGGCCCGTTCCGATCCGAAGCGTTCCTTGTTTCAGCACCTCGACTGTACCTGGAATCCATAACAAGGGATATGTCGACCCCTATCCCAGGCTTCGTGGGGTTTCCGAATGGACCAGAAATTTGGGGCCCAACCCTGGGATATACGATGGGGGGGTGCCCATCCTCGATAGGGGTGCGTCCGAATAGCCCCCTTGGGGTGTATCCCAGGGTTTTTCAATTTTTCTGAACGGCCAAACTTTTTGGGCGAAACTCGGGGGTTCGGGGAGAAACATCGCCTGCGAATCCAGACCTCCGAGGCAACGCCTTCTTCACAGCGTGGACCCCGTAAAAGTCAGACCACTTCCCTGGCGGCCGGCTTCTCGCTCCGAGCCGTTTTTGGGCGGTCCGAGGCCCGGCGAGGGCGGGAGGAGGAGGAGGAGGAGGAGGAGGAGGAGGAGGAGGAGGAGGAGGAGGAGGAGGAGGAGAAGGGGGAGGAGGAGGAGGAGGAGGAGGAGGAGGAGGAGGGAGGAGGAGGGGAGGAGGAGGGGAGGAGGAGGGGGGGGGCCGAGGCCGAAGATACAGACAAAAAGTCCGCATTCTTCCACGACGTGAGGATATCAATCCTCCTTTCCTAGCCGCAACGCGCTCGCACTCGCTTTCTCGCGCGCGCGCGCTCTTCAGAGCCGAGTCAGACCCTGATTCGTGGCGAGCGACGGGGGCCGCCGAGTCCATCCTTCGGGTCGGGCGAAAGGGGGGATAGCAAAGGGGGGGTTTGAGAATCAGCTCACGTGGCTGATTTCCCCGGCGCCTCCCGGCGCCAGGAGGCGGCCATGTATCGAGGAATGGGCCCCTCGGTGAGGCCGAAACCAGCTGCATGCAGCAGATTTCGTAACCCCCCTTTCCCCTCCTCCTCCTCCTCCTCCTCCTCCTCCTCCTCCTCCTCCTCCTCCTCCTCCTCCTCCTCCTCCTCCTCCTCCTCCTCCTCCTCTTCCTCCCCACTCCTCCTGGTCCTCCTCCTCCTCTCCTCCTCCTCCTCCTCCTCCTTTCTCCCCCTCCCCTCCTCCTCCTCCTCCTCCTCCTCCTCCTCCTCCTCCTCCTCCTCCTCCTCCTCCTCCTCCTCCTCCTCCTCCTCCTCCTCCCCCCCCTTTCGCCCGGCCCGAATCCCGGGGTCAGAGGCCGGCCCCCGCAGACGCACCGGGGTGCGCTCTGGCGAGGCCTCCGAGGAGGCGGCCTCTGGCCGTGGCCACGAGCCGCCCCCCCCAGAGGCCCCGGACAGGGCGAAAGACGTGTCCACACGCCTGCGGACCTCGAGGCTCCAGGGTCGCGAGGGGGGTGATTTTGAGCAGGTGCCGACCGTCCCAGCATCCCCATAGTCCTACCACGAAATGATCTTAGAACCCAAGAGTGTTCCGAGAACAAAGACCATGTTCTTAGAACATCAACCCGACGTGCTAACACAAGATAGACCCCGCCAGAACCGTTCTGAAAACATTTATTCGTGCAGGCCATAAAATGATGTTTCGAACTTTCTTTGGTAGGGCTACAGGCGAGCAAGGACGCTCAGCCACAGCTGGATGACTGCCAGAGCATCACCCTCCAAAACCAAACAAAAAAAAAAAAAGCCTGCGATAGGGGGCCTCGGCAGGCCGACCAGGCTCCCCCCCTCCTCCTCCTCCTCCTCCTCCTCCTCCTCCTCCTCCTCCTCCTCCTCCCCCTCCTCCTCCTCCTCCTCCTCCTCCTCCTCCTCCAGAGCATCACTGCGATAGGGGGCCTCGGCAGGCCGACCACCCCGCCCCCCCCGTCGACGCGCGCCGCGGCGGCGGCGGTCGCCCTCGGTGGCGTTCTCGGCGGAGGCGTTCGCCACCGCTCGGCCCAGGGCCTCCCGGCGCCCGGCCGCGCCGCCGGCGGCGGCCAGGGCCCGCTGGTGGATGGCCGCGTCGGCCTGGCTCGCCAGGCACGCCTGAGGAGCAGCGATCTCCGAGGGGCCCGAGACGCCCCCTCACGACGGGAGGTTTTTCGCCACTTTCGGCCTCTGGGGGCCCTCACCGGGCCTCGGGCGCGTCAAAAAACGGCTCAGGATGACAGACCGGTCCTGGGGAAGGGGTCGGGACCTCTGGGGGTCGACGTCATGAAAAAAAAATTACGTCGGGGGTCTGGGGACGCCCCCTCGGAGAGCGACCCGAGTCCCAAACCCGTGCGGCGGCCCCGAATCCCACCACCGGCTCACCACGCGGCGTGGTCACCACGCACTACACGACATTGGAGGCCCCCGGTCGACTCCGGCCAACGAAAGCGGATCAAGGGCCTCGGGGCTCGCGCGGGGGCTCGTGCTCGGGCCGAGGAGCGCTCGCGGGGTCCCGCGGGCTCCGAGACCGAGCAAAGACATGGCTCGGGAGCACGTCTTCCCCACGCCACACGAGGGCCCCCACAGCGAGCCGAGCGCGGTGTCGAGCGGGGGTGCGCCCGCGGAGGGGGTCGGGACCTCTGCAGGGCCGCGGCTCGAAAAAGTCATACGATCTTTTGGGCCGGGAGGACTGGCCCAGGGGGGGAAACTGAAGGGGCCCCAGGACACACAAATAAATACACACAAACAAAAAGATTCCCCATATTTTCCCACAGTTTCTGGGTTTCTGCCTTCCCCCCCACTTCCCATAGTTTGCCACATTTTCTGGGGAATCGAGGATTAATTGTATCTGTGTGTGTCTTTTCCTCTCCTGAGAAACATCGGGCTGGAAGCGGCGATACATCGCCTACTGGTCGGCGGCAGGGCCCCGGTGGCAGAGCCCCACGCCCCTGCGCGGGGCCGGCTGTCGGGCCTTTGCCAGCGATCCGTGGGCGACTGGGGGGTGGATACATCCCCCCTGAGCCTACAGTCGGGGTGTTGACCAAAGGAACCCTAAATAAGGAACGAGGCCCCTTTTCTCCACGAGTTAAGCCCCATTGCCCCTCGAAAACCAAGGGAACATCGAAGGCAACCTGCAAAACAGCTAAGGAACACTGAGCCCCTCCCAAACGAACATGGTTCCTTCTTCAGCGCCCCGACTGTATATTACTTAATGATCCTCGTCGTCCGACTTTTGGTCATCACTCGGGCCTCCGGAGGCCGTTCGGGACGATCCAGGCACCCCCAGAATGCTCTCGGCGAGGAGCACGGAGAACCCACGAAAACGCCCCAGAGCCTCGAGCCTGGTCCGAAACGAAACAGCTGCAAACATGCATCCCCCCTCCCGCCCCCCAGATGTGGCTGCGTCGGCGTAAATCTGACCAAGCGAGCAACAAGTGCTGCTGCCACGATGCTTTCCGCATGTTCCTGGTGGCGCTCCACAACATCTGTTGCCGTGCACGTTTATCCCCCGTGTTCTGAATAAGGACCAGCCCTGGGCCGATCGGGCGAGGAGGAGGAGGAGGAGGAGGAGAACGATCGGGCGTTGCGTTGCGGTGGCCCCCGCCCAACCCCTGGGAATATCATGCCCCCCCCCCTCTCGCGTTGCCCCCCGAGCGCCAGGGCGACGGCGGCGCGCAGCGGCGCGAGCGGCGCCATGCTCGCCCGCGGGAGGTGCGCTCTCGGATCCTGGGCCATGGACGGCTCGGAGAACGAATATCAGTATGTTGTTCGTGTGTGGTTTAGTGTTCCTTATCTCTCTTTGTCTCATATCTACACAGATGTATAATTGTGCATGCATGTATACATCTAGATATCCGTGTAAATATGTGTATAGCTGTGCCAGGTAACAGTAATGCGTATGTTGTATTGTTGAAATGTGTATGCATGAAAGTATGTATGCCATCATGCATGTACGTATATATGCATGCACACACGCATGTGTGTATGTATATGTTTACGTACGCGCGCATGTATGTAATTATGTATGTATGTATATATGTGTATGTATGTATGTATGTATGTATGTATGTATGTATGTATGTATGTATGTATGTATGTATGTATGTATGTATGTATGTATATATGTATGCATGTACGAACAAGCGTAAACATGTATGTGTGTATGTTTGTATGTATACATGTGTGTATATACGTACGTATATGTGTATGTATGTACGTATGTAGGTATGCATGCATGCATGCATGCATGCATGGATGCATGTGTGTATGTGTGTTTGTATGTGAGTATGTATGTATGCATGCATGTATGTATGTATGTATGTTCGTAGGTGTGAATCTACGCACGTATGTATCATAGTTACAGATGTGTCTATATATAACACATATCGGCGTCGGAGTGGAGGCGTCGAAAGAATTGGCAGAACTTCCTCGGCGGAAAACGGCGGAAGGCCAGCGGAAAGACAGCGAATGCCGCTCCGTTGGCGGACGGCCGGCGTTGGGAAAAATCTGCCTCCCAAGGGATGACACGTGTGTTTTGGGGGGGAGCAAGGGCTTTCTGAACCAACAACAATAAAACGTCAGTCGAATGAAGGTTTAACATGAGGTAGAAGGCGTATAGAATATATATTGGGCTCAGACATTCTGAAATTATGAAACATCACAACAGATGCAGATGGGCTCTTGAAGTAGGAAGGCGCTTGAAGTAGATTGGGATCTGGGAATCCAAAAAAAAGACTTTCAACGGCTGGCGTATATATTTCCCAAACAGTGCTTGCACGTAGGGCTTCTTATTCCACACACAGTGCCTGAACTTGGGGGCCCTTACTTCTGGTCTAAGGGACTGGGCCTGCGTGTCGGTCGGGCGGCTATGTTGTCGCCGTCGCCGCCTGGTCGCCGCCTCGTCGCCGCCCGTCATCTGGGCCTGTCTCTCGGTCTGGCGGCTATGTTGTCGCTGTCGCCCTCCGTGGGTCCTGAGATGTCTGGAGCTTCTGCGGGCCCCTGGGGCCATCTGGGGATGAGGTACTTCCGAGGTGTACCTGCTGGCAGGCCAGTCTCTTCCTTGGCGTGCCTACATGGAGGAACAGCGAAAACTGGCATCATCAACACGTTTTCTCTGAGATCCGCGTCGATTTCTGGGATCGGCGCTGCCCCCCCCCCCCCTCCATGGCTCGCGGAGCGCGACAGGGGCGGCGCCGGAGGCGCCGACAAAGGGCCCGGGCACCGACCCAAGAGATCTGTGCGGAACTCAAAACAAGAGATGCATGCCGACGAACGAACAACACACACACACACACTCCCATACAAACAGGGGGGTGGGACAGAGGAGGACTGGTTAGGGGTGGGGGTGCGGGTTGCCGGACACCAACGGAGGCTCCCGTACGAGCGGGGACCCCATTCCGACAACACAAACCCAGAGCCCTCCCCGTCCCCCCTAGCTATGCGTTCGTCAACTGTATCTCGCACGGCACAACATCAGTGAATACCCGCCGCGCTGAGCCCGCACCTCGCTCAAGGAGGTCAGTCGTCCTCCTCATCCTCCTCCCTATCCAACTCCCCCTGCTCCGCTCCTCCTGCTCCTGCTCCTGCTCCTGCCCCTCCTCCTCCTCCTCCTCCTCCTCCTCCTCCTCCGCATCTCCTCTCGCCAACCCTTCAATCATTCGGCCACCCTCTCCTGCTCTCTCTTCTCCTCCTCCTCCTCCTCCTCCTCCTCCTTCTCCTCCTGCTCCTGCTCCTCCTCCTCCTCTTCTTGCTGCTCCTCCTCCTCCTCATCATCCTCCTCCTCCTCCTCCTCATCATCATCATCCTCATCATCCTCATCATCATCATCAGAATTATCATCATCATCATCATCATCATCATCATCATCAGCATCACCACCACCATCATCAACATCATCATGGTCATCATCATCATCATCATCATCATCATCATCATCATCATCATCATCATCATCATCATCGTCATCATCATCATCATCATCATCATCAGCATCATCATCATCGTCATCATCATCATCATCATCATCATCATCATCATCTCATCATCATCATCATCATCATCATCATCATCATCATCATCATCATCATCATCATCATCATCATCATCATCATCATCATCATCATCATCATCGTCATCATCATCATCAGCAGCAGCAGCAGCATCAAAATCATCATCATCATCATCATCATCATGCTCCTCGTCTGGCTGCTCGCAGCAGAGCGGATCGGCGCGCACGAGGTCGAGCGAGGAGCCCGAGCCAGGGCCTGACCAAGGGGCTGCTGACCTCCAGGCTGAGCTCTGCCCCGCCCGCGCCCCCCTGGCGCCGCGCAGAAGGAGGGCAGGGGCAGGGGGGAAGGCTTCTTAGAAGCACCCCCGCTCCTCAGGAGGCGCGGCCCCTGTCTACAGATGTGAGGCCCGCGCCGTCTACCAAGCGGCCTCCCTCCAGGAAGCCTTCCCCCCCTGCCCCTGCCCACCTTCTGCGCGCAGCCAGCTTCCCTCTCCTCTGCAGGGCCCCCTTGACCAGGGAGGAGGAGGAGAGGGAGGAGGAGGAGGAGGAGGAGGAGGAGGAGGAGGAGGAGGAGGAGGAGGAGGAGGAGGAGGAGGAGGAGGAGAGGAGGAGGAGGAGGAGGGGGAGGGGAGGAGGAGGAGGGGGGAGGAGGAGGAGGAGGAGGAGGAGGAGGAGGAGGAGGAGGTGGAGGAGGAGGGCCCTGCTGGCCAGGGCCTGGACACGTCCCCCCCCGGGGAGGCACGGCGAGCGGAGCACGCCGCGGCCCTCGGCCGCAGGCAGGCCTCTCGGGCGCGCGCCGAGGCCCTCGTGCATCCCGGGCCCCCGCCTGCGGGGCCCGGATCCAGGCTGAGCTTAGCCCCCCGCCACTCCCCACCCCCCCTGTCCTTCCAGGAGGGCTAAAAAATAGCACGCGACTTAAAACCTATCCCAGAGCTATTATATGTCTTGGTTTTAGGCTGCGTCGTTCCGTTTTTTTGGTTTTTAGGCCTCCGGTGCTAAAAAATAGCTCTCTGGAAGGTCAGGGCCCTTTCTCCCCCCGCTGCACGCCCAACGCAGCCGAGCGCTGGGCTCGCGCTCCCGAGGTGTCACACCTGCTCGTCCTCGCCGGGCTCCAGCGACGCGTACGTGAGGACCGCCGGGTTGATGATGAAGGTGCTCGCGTAGTAGGAGAACTCCCAGCCACCGCTGGGGCAGGCCGGGGACGTGCGGTTCGCGAGGGCGTCGTCCCAGACCTCCTGCGTGACGTTGATGGCCTCCGAGTAGCAGGTCCCCGCAGAGCGGCCACCCGCCTCGTAGGCAAAGGCGAGGACGCCCAGGTTCTTGACTGCCAGGAAGCACTCCTCGAGCGTTTCCTTGTAGCCCACGTGCCCCTTGCTGCCGCACTCCTCCGTCGGGTAGCCCTCGTCGTGTATCTTCAGGAAGCCGACCTCTGCGTCGCTGGCCGCCTCCAAGGACGGCGAGAACGCGCGCGGGCAGAACTTCACAAGCAGCTGCTGCGCGAACACGTCCTCGTTGTTCTCCAGCGCCTCGATGCCAGGGATGCGCACGTAGTTCGACTCCCACGGGGAGCTGGCCCAGTCCCGGATCTGCTCCAGGCTTTGGCCTGCGTAGGTGGACACAGGGGCCATGAAGATCTGAATGCCCTTGTCCTTCAAGTTCTGGACCTTCTGGCTCGTTCGGAAGGCGTTGGTGTACTTGCCGTCCGACAACATCAGGATGGCGCTCTGTGCATCGCTGCGGCCTTCTGCTTCGAACATCTTGTCTGCAAGCTTGAACGCTTGCATCATGTTAGTGAAACCGCGCTGCCACTGCATGCGATCGATGGCCTGTGTCACCGACGCCAGGTCAGTCGACAAACGGTGGGCCTGGATTGCCTCGCTGACGTATCCCTCTTTAAACAAGACGCCGTTACCATAAAGAATAAGGCCAACCCTCATGTCCTCTTGACCGTAATATACCGCCCGGTACCTGGAGGTGAGATTTCTCGCGAAACTCTTCAGGATATCAAAACCCTTCTTCTTCACGGAGCCACTCCCGTCGACGGCGATCACGAGATCCTTGGCGGACCCAGAAGGTACCGATACCGCCACCCCCCGAGCCTCTCCCCAGGTGCGTTCTGACCAGAAGTTCGAGGAGAATCCAGCGGTGGCGACGAGGGTCTCCCAGGAGGCCCCAGAGAAGCACAAAACGAGGCAGGGGCGGCGGCGTCGGAACCTGTTCCTCCTCTGGTGTCCTGGCGCGCGATGCATATCTCGTCGCCGACGCACTTCTGGGTGTTGCACGCCTGCATCTGCAGTCGGTCGGCGTGCTGGGGGCCCGGGCACTTGCCGTTGGCCCGGATCGGGAGGTCGACGTGCCTGGAGGGGAAAATTGGGAATCGAAAACTGGTCAGGTCAGTGCTCCTGCCCCTCCTCTCCCCCCTTCCTTCCTCGCCCCTCTCGAGGGAGGAGGGGGGAGAAAGAGGGGAAGGAGCGCTGACCTGACCAGTTTTCCCTTCCCGAGAAAAGCAAGGTGACCATGACCAAGACATGACTTGCCATCGCTCGGACGTCCATTCCCCGTGCACTCTTTGCTCTCGCGCGCGGTTTCATTTTTCAGGTGATCAAAGGCGCCATACGGCGGTCCAGACTTTCTGACGAAGTCCTCGCCGAGACAAAAGCACACCGATGCAAACTTGAACACGGGAACGTCGGCGTTTGGTCAGCATCCATCTTGGTCACCCCCCCCAATTCGTGGATCCTAGGTGCGAATCGGCGACGGCTGGCATGGATCAAGACTGGCGTCGACAAGATTCGGTGACTACAATAGGTGCGGTTTGCGAAAGGGTGCGGTTTGTCTCCCGTCATATCTGCCCCTCTCGCCCACGGGAAACGGATGACACTGTCACTCAATGCGACCGGATCACATGACACTGTTGCTCCTTCTAGTACAGTGGAGCACACATCGAGGATGACAGTGTCGCTGGAAACGACGACAAAAGTGACATTGTCTCTCACAAAGGCCCCAGAAAGACCGCCACAGAGCAACTCGCAAACCGCACCCAGGCGTAACCGCACTGATTGTAGTCGCCGGAAGATCCCGCGACGTCTTGGCCGTGGTCGTCGTGATTTCTCCCTCGAGTGCCGCTCGCGCTTCTGCAGGCCGCCGCCGCACGCCATGGAGCAGGGCTCCCAGGCCGTCCACTCGAAGAGCGTGCAGTCCCGATCGCACGACCCGGTGTTGCAGGACCTCAGGAGGGGGGGAGGACGAGGAGGAGGAGGAGGAGGAGGTGGTGGAGGAGGAGGAAGAGAAGGAGGAGGAGGAGGAGGAGCAGGAGGGGGGAGGAGGAGGAGGAGCAGGAGCAGGAGGCGGAGGAGGAGGAGGGCGGAGGAGGAAGAAGGGGCCCGCCGCCCTGGCCTCGTTCTCGCCTGCTGCCTGGGGCCTCCCGGGAGGCGCGCGTCGCCACCACATGGATCCGCTGGGCTCGCCACGAAACCCTGGCCCGATCGCAGCTCGGGGAAGGTCCGTGGGTCAGCGGTATCGTTAGATGCTCATTCTGGGGACCTTCCTGTAGCCACTCGCTCCACTCGTGCGTCGAAGCTGCGTCGAACCTGAGTCGAACCTGAGTCGAACCTGAGTCGAATCTGTGTCGAACCTGAGTCGAACTTGAGTCGAACCTGAGTCGAACAGATCCACTAGGTGGGCCCAAGGAAGGTCCCCAAAACGAGCATCGAAGTATCGGGATCTTCTGGTTTCCCGAGGGCCTCTCCTCCATGGTCGTGTCGCACTCGTTCCCGCCGTTCCTCGGCTTGACGAGGATGGCGCGCGTCCGGCCCTGGGTGCCCCCGCCGCACTCCTTGGAGCAGCCCGAGAAGCCGCTCCACTCGGACATCGAGCACGCCACCGGACACTTGTGCTGGTTGCACTTCTTCGTCATGGAGAGTGTCGGGCAAGGCATGCCGACTGGGCTGGGCGCAATCAGAAGCTCCCGCACAAGATTCTGCGTGCCACCGCAAGCCTGGACGTTGACGCCGCCGACGTCCGCGGGGCAGTTGTCGTCGCAGTCGACGGAGCACATCTCGGGGCGCCAGTCGCTAAAGTCACAGTCCTTGATCATATCTGGTGGCGTGACCTTGCTGTACTCCATGAGCTTGTTACGCACGACGCGGACGGCGCAGATGTTCGTGAACAGGATCTCCGTCATGCGATCCTGGCACTCCTTCATCTTCTTCTTGTATGTAGCCTTATGTTGCTCCCATACTGAAGAACCACATTCTGGAAATGATTTCGAGTACTCAGAAAAGCATCGAACAAGTGTGCAAGCGAAGTGTAGAAAAAACTATCGCCTCACAGGACCCGACATGTGAACAACCTCCTGTTTCGATACCTTCTTGGTGTTGGCAATTCTTTCGGGTGATCCAGGCTGAAGCAGGTTGGACCATCATCATATATACCGATCTATATATATATATATGTATATATATGCATCGCCTCCAGGTCGCGATGCTGCTGTTCCTTCTCGCGCGTCTCCGCGGAGAGCGAGTTCATCTCCGAGACGGCTTCCCCCAGCATCTCCTGGTGCTTCGTCTTGCTGGCCCGGAGCGAAGTAACCTGCTCGTTCAGATTGTCGCGCTCCTGGATTGCAGTCGGGCATTTCTGGAGGACAGATGATACAGTCAGAACATCAAACATATTCAAATGCCAGGAAGCATCGTGCCCAGACTAATTATTTGTTTCCTGTTCTTGCATACTCCTCCCGCAGAGGGACATGCCCGACTTGATTTGAGGGATGAAAAAACGACCCTACCCTGGGTTACAAGTGCGCGGTCTGTAAACCTCCTGGGAACCCCCAAAGCGTAGAGCCGCCGGGACGCGGCACATCACGCAAGGTTTACCCTGTCAGCCCACAGGAGTTTCAGCGCACAGCGCCTCGTAAACCAGGGTAGGGGCGTTTTTTTCTGCCCTTGATTGATCCTGGATGTACTCGTCGCTGTTGCGCTCCATCAAGGTGGTCAGCTCGTCCACGAGGTCCTTGAACTTGCCCCACTGCAGCGCCATCGTGTCGTGGAGGAAGCCGCAGTCCACACTCTGGGGGGTCCTGCCCGCAGAGGGCAGCGACACGCCACCACAGCCTGGCCAGGGCTCGGCGGCGTGTCGGGGGGAAGTACAAGGAATGAGGTGCAGTAACTGACTCAAGACGTGGACGATTTTTGCTGTTATGCGCGGCCCACCACTCTGCTAAGGTGGGATGTGGCCTCGGCGGCGTGTCGGGGGGAAGTGAGACGAGGCGGGCCTTCTCAGAAGGCTCGGAAGTCCCCTGGCCCTTTGAGAAATTCTGTAAGCCTTTTCTCCGAAGACACAGCCCAACCTCTCAGGAGGCCGAGGCTCTCTGAGAAGACCCGCCTCCCTCCGAGAAGGCCTTCTCCTTCTCGCTGCACCCCCTCGCTCGCCGCCGAGATACACCCTGCGAAATGCTTTAGAAATCATGGGTTAAGAAACTCATGGTCTGAGAACTGGAATAAAAACCCAGAATGTCTATTCAAATCTTAGGATCTACCTTGAAACATTAAGAATAATCGAGACTCTGGCCGAAAACTTGGGGTTTCTTAAGCATCGCCTAAGGTGTACACCACCACGACCTGGCCAAGGCCATCCTGAGCCCCAGGATGGTGCACAGACCCTCCTAGACTCGGTCAGGCGAACGCGCCCCCCATGCCCAGGGCCCCAAGATGGGCTTGGCCGGGCACTGGTGGCGGCGAGCCCAGGCTGAGACGAAACCAGGACGAGGATAAGATCGGGTGAGGAGAAAAGAGAATCTCTGAGATCCGGCGGCTCTGGAGGATGTATCGGGCGTTCCGGAGCTATCTGAGAGCGTTTTGCAACGCTCTGGAACGGAACTATCCTCGTCCCAGCCCCGCCCGACAGACATCCGAAGACATGAATGCTTGAATGGGCTATCCTCACATGTCGTTCCCAGACCCCCGACGTCGTGATTTTTTCGCAGCGCCGACCCCTAGAGATCTGGACCCCTCCTCCGGGACCAGGTTTTCATCCCGAGTCGCTGTCTGACGGCCCCAGGGCCCGGCGAGGGCCCCTGGAGGCCCCAAAACATGTGATAAAACTGCTCGTCGTGCTTCTGCTCCTCCACGACGCGAGGGGGCCCGGGCTGCTCCCGAGCTGTGCCCCACGCGTGTCCTGCACTTCTTCCACTGGCTGTCGGAGGGCGGCTCCTCCGCCAGGGCCGAACCTCAACGGTGCTTGTCGCCTTCGTTCTGCCTTCGTCCTCCCTCGCTCTGCCTTCGATCCGCCTGCACCGCAGAACGACGTCCTCCTCCTCCTCCTCCTCCTCCTCCTCCTCCTCCTCCTCCTCCTCCTACTCCTACTCCTCCTCCTCTTCCTCCTCCTCCTCCTCCTCCTGATCCTCCTCCTCCTCCTCCTGATCCTCCCCCTCCTCCTCCTCCTCTCCTCCTCCTCCTCCTCCTCCTCCTCCTCCTCCTCCTCCTCCTCCGCCATCGCTCGGACGCTCATTCCCTGTGTTTTTTGTCGGCCTCGTGCGTGTTTTTTTTCGCCAAGGGATCAAGGGATGCTCCTCGATGGTCCTCCCCGAAGGAAACATGCACACGTCCGGGCGATGCCAAGCCCTGTGTGTTCTTGTCGGTCTCGTGCGTGTTTTTTTTCGCCAAGGGATCAAGGAATGCTCCTCGATGGTCCCCCCCGAGGGAAACGTGCACACGTCCGAGCGATGCCCAAGGCAAGACACCGCTGAGGCCCAGCCCCGTCCTTCGACACGGGCACGGGGGGCGGCGCCTGGCGGCCCGCGGCGCCGACCAGGCCCCCCTCCTGGCTGGCCCCAAAAGGGGGGTCCAGCTGAAAGGGGGTGGTGCAATTGATTCGGGGCAGGTGTATTGCAAATGTCAGGGGGACGTAAGACCTGGGTACAGGGGACTCGGAAATCCCAGACGAGGTCGTCAAAAAAATGACGAGGCCGAGCCTGCATTTTGACGAGGCCTCCCGCTGCAGACATCCCACGAAACTCCTCCTCGTCAAAATCCGAGGCGCGGTCGTCAAAAAACGATGGCGAGCCCGAGTCCTGGCAAACCCAGGTCTTACGCTCCCCCGAAAATGTATTGCGCCAGAGACTTGTGCGTGGCATTGTATTGCAGCCAATCTGCATTGCGCGCGAAGGTCCAGCAGCACATCTGCGCCCTGGAATGCATGGCACGGCTCAGATCTGCTGCAACCCACAAATCTACTGCACCAGATCTATTGCACCACCCACTTGTCGCTGGACCCCCTTTTGGGTCAACCGGACTCCTGAAGCAGGCTCGCCGCCGCCACGGCGCCCGGGGGAGCCCCGGCCCCCAGGGCGTCCAGCAGCGCGCGCTCGGCGCGGGGCGCCCTTTGCGGGACGAGGCCGAGGCGAGGACGACGTCGGGCGAAGCGGCGTCGGGGATCTCTGAGGCCCGGCGGCCCTGGAGGACATCTCGGGCGCCGCGGCCTTGTCCACGCGTTCGGGGGCGCTCCGAAAGCGTGCTCTGGAACGGATCTATCCTCGTCCTGGTCCCGCCCGACCTCTTCAGCTTGGCCATGACCTCCGCACGGGGCATCTGTGCGTCACCCGCGCGCCTGGCCAGGGCCAGGCTGGCCCTGCATCAAAGAAGAGGCTCCTTATCAAAGCATTGGCCCAGCCAGCACTCCGGGCAACGCCAGCCAACACCTCCGGCTGACCTCCGCCAGTCCTGGCCAGCCCAACCTCTGTGGCCAACCCTGATCAGGGACATTCTTCCCACGAGATATACATTACCCGTTGGTCGGAAGAAGTGGGTAGAAACATGAAGTAGGCAGGCGTCGGAAACGGATTGGGCTTCCGCCCGCCCCTGAGGAGGAGGGATGAGGGGCACCCGCTCGACTCTTGAAGCAGGAATGCGCGCAAAGTGGATTGGGATCTGCGAGTCCAGAAATACCCACGTTCAACGACCGGCGGGTGAGCGACTGAGTACAAGGGTCTGAGCGCGAATAAGTACAAGTACAGACATGTGATTGAGATTGCGCAAGTCTGAGTCCGTGACGATCTTCGCACGATCCAGCATGAGTACGAGTGAGTCCGACGATGAGCGAGGGCCTCGTTGAGGCTCATGGGGCCTCCCAGCCCCTGCTGGGGCCACCTGCGGCATCCTGGGACCTCCTGGAGGCTTCTGAGGCCTCCAAGGATTTCCCAGAGCCTCCTGGGGCCTCCTGGGCTGGAAGGAGGAGCGAGGAGGAGGAGGAGGAGGAGGAGGAGGAGGAGAAGGAGGAGGAGGAGAAGGAGGAGGAGGAGGAGGAGGAGGAGGAGGAGGAGGAGGAGGAGGGAGGAGGAGGGAGGAGGAGGAGGAGGAGGAGGAGGAGGAGGCGGAGGAGGAGGAGGAGGGCGTGGTAGCAGGCCTTGGCGGCCAGGAGGGCGCATGCTGGGGCACAGGGTGACCTAGGCCAGGCACGGGGGTGGAATATCGATGCCCTGTGCGTATGACCTCTGGGTCGCCCGTGTGCAGCGAGACGCCCTCCGAGGTGTTGCACACCTCAAGGGGACCAACGTCGCAACATCGGCCGAAGCTTAAACTTTCGAAGTCAGCGCCGACCTCATTACTAACATGGACACGTCGGTCGGAAGAAGTGGGTAGAACCATGAAGTAGGAAGGCGTTGGAAGCAGATTGGGTTTCCGCCCGCCCCTTGAAGAGCAGGGAAGGGGCAGAACCTCTCGACTCTTGAAACAAGACGGCGCCTAAAAAGTAGTGAATCTGGATACCAAAGTGCCTACTTTCAACGACCGGTGTGTACCATGCGTGGTGCTGCCGTTTTTCAAATCTACGACACCTGCCACTGGATCAGTCCGTAGCCGTCGTCCTTGCCGCCAGGGGGACACCTGGTCATGTTCAGGACGGCGTCGAACACGGCCTGGTCGTCCTCCCTGAGGCGTAGCTCGTACTCGTTCTGGGCTCTGATGGTCTCGAAGGACCTCTTCAGATTGTCCCGCAACTCGGAGGTTTCCTTGATCCTGAGCGACATGTCTGCGATGCCGCCCTCCGCCTCAACCTTCATGCGCTCGCGATCCCCCAGATCGGCGCCGATGTGATCAAGATCGGTCACGACCTGGCCGAAGGTGTCGCGATTTGACTCTTCGAACTGCTTGCATTCTATCATGACGGCGTCGAGCTGCTCCCACGCGTCGTACATCATGTTATTCATGTACACCCGCGCCTTCGCCAGGGAAGCCTCGCTGAACTGACCCTCGACCTTGGTCCCATTGGCGCTCATGTGGGCCAGGGTCAGGATCTCCGTCGGCAGCTTGGTTTCGAGCTTGGGAAGCGCGTCGCGCAAGTGCATGTTGCGGGCCACCTTCGAGAGGGGAGCGCGCAGATAACGGTGCCGCTGCTGTCCGGGGCGCGGTGCGACCAGGACTCCGAGAGGAAGCCAGCTGCGGCGAAGGACGCCCCGCCCCGCGCAGCCCGAAAAGGCGAAACCGCGAAGGATGGGTGTCGTCGCCGGGGGAGCTTGGCGGCTCTCGGGCCATCTTCCAGTCTCGGGCGGCGGCTGTTCTTCACGAATCGGTCTCCGGCCGCCTGAGGCCCCGCCCGCCTGTGCCCTGTCTCCTCAATTAGAGCTGTGCGTAGCCCGCCTGGCTTTTAGCGGAAGGGGTTCGCTCTCGCCCCGCCGACCAAAAGAGTTCTTCACGAATCGGGCACCCCAAGTGTGGCGACAACCTGCCCGGACTTTCGAGACAAGCCTTCGGAGCTGCACATGGACTCCTGAAGGGGCCCTGGGACACACACCTAAATACACACAAAGAAGACGATCCCCCACATGTTCCTAGAGTTCCTGGGTTTTTTGTCTTCCCCCCCACTTCCCATACTCCAGATTTCGTAATAAAAGTGAGGGGGTCCGGACCCTCCAAGACAAGCCATTTCAGACCTCCCCCGTGGGGGAACCCTCCAAAACATCGTCCCCAGACCCCCCAGGCCCTCCAAGATAGCCTGGAAGAGACCCCCCCCGAAATGAGACCCCCCTCCCTTTCTTACGACATCTGGAGTATTTTCCCATATTTCTCGGGGACCGACGATTCATTGTGTCTGTGTGTGTTTTCTCCTCCTGGACTTCTGGGGTCGGCGCGGGGCGCCGCGCCCCCCCCCCCCCCCATGCGCGACGGCACGGGGCGCCCCGCCACGAGGAGCCCAGCAGCCGACGCAAGGCAGCCATGTTCCCCGGCCTCGAACGCATCCCTATCCCTAGGATTTTCTCCTCCTCCTCCTCCTCCTCCTCCTCCTCCTCCTCCTCCTCTCCTCCTTGCTCCTCGCTGCTCGCTCCTCGCTCCTCGCTCCTCCTTTTTTTTACGTGGGACTAACCAACGACACGCCAAGAGGCGATGACAGTCTTAGGGATGCGCCCTGAAAAACGAAGGGAATCCCTAAGACTGGCATCGTGTCGAGGCGATGCCGAACATAGGGATAGGGGTATGTTCCAGGCTGGTAACATGTGGAGCTCCGAGCGTTTTTGTGCTTATTCTGCCGGGGGGGGCGCAGGCGTTCGGACCATAACTAGGGCATCTGGCGGCCGCTCTGCACGGCTCGGGCACCCACCGAGCAGTCTCGGCGAGGAGCAGCTGCCCGAGAGCATCCCGGGGCAATGAGAAGTCCTCCAAGGGCCAAGGAAAACTCCCGCATACTTTCGAACACATGCGTCTTCCTCTCCCCCGAACCCTGACAATGTCCATGATGGCCATGGAGTCCGAGGCAAGCAGCTGCTCCACCAGCTCCCCGACCAGCTCCTGTGGGGGCCATTCGTGGGGGGACCGCCATCGAGCTGGAACCGGCTGTATATCGGCGATAGGCCCCCGACAGTGAAGCCGCGCCAGCCTGGGCGGGGTGGGCTAGTCGGCCCGAGCTGACGCTGACTGCTGGGCGTGCGCTGGGATTGACCAGGGCTCCGTGGACCTGGCGCGCGGGCGCCAACTCAGCAGTATCGGGGAACGCAGCCACCGAAGCCCGGCGCCCGTGCCGCCCGATTGGGCGACAGAGCGCGCGCCGGGGTGGTCTGGAAGCTTACCAGCCTGGAACTTATCCCTATCCCTATGCTGGGCACCTCCTCATCACGATGCCAATCTTAGGGATTCCCTTATTTTTTAAGGGCGAATCCCTAAGATTGTCATCGCCTTTTGGCGTGTCAGTCTTAGGGATAGGGATACGTTCGAGGCTGGTAAGAAGCGGGGCCCGTCACCAATCTTCCGCGCCTTGCTCCAGGCTTGCACTTCCTCGAGAATGGGCGACTGCTGGAACAGGAAAAGGCGGCACCACCACCACCAGGGACCACCAGCGGGCGGAGGAGCCAGGGGGGTGCCCCTGGTAGTGTGGTCGCCCCCCCTCGCTCGAGACGTCCACTAGCCCCAGTTCGGGGAGGCATCGTGGACCTCCTCGCTGGAAGTGACACCCTGGTGGTGTTGGTGTCGTTTCTCTCTCGCCCCCTCCCAACATCGGGAGCGGCCAAGAGGGGGGTGTCCAAGAGGGCGGGGGTGCAGATCGTGACCGGCGGCATGTGCGCGGCCCAGGGGGGGGGGGCTGGGGACACCATGGCACAAGAAGAGGCGCCATGAGATCTGGGAAAATATCATGGCCCTCGCCACGAGATCCCCCCCCCCCTGAGCATCACCCCCCTCTTTTCCGCCCCCTCCCAGCAGTGCCCTTGACGACCAGCTCCTGGGCGGCGCCGGCCTGGCCCGACTGGTCCGAGGCGCCCGACGCGCTGTCCGCGCCCCACAGCGCGCTGTCGGCGACCGCGCGCGAGCCGCCGCCCTCGCACGAGGCACGAGGGACGAAGACCAGCGCTGCTTTACCAAACAACATGAAGGGGCCCTGGGACACACACACACACACACACACAAATACACACAAATAAAATGATCCCCCATATTTTCCCATGCTTTCTGGGTTTTTGTCTTCCCCCCCACTTCCCATATTTCCCAATATTTTCGGAGGAATCGACGATTAATTGTGTCTGTGTGCCAAACTCGCAGGCCTAGAGATTGACACCAACACCAATTTCGGCGGTGTGCCTCCACCGAGGGAAGAAGATCCCGATCTCGGTGATGGTGGTAATATTCTGGCTTCCAATGTGGCCGAACTATTACCACCGGTACCGAACACCTGGGATCACCTTCCCCCTGTGGAGGCACCCCCCTGTCTTGGTGTTGGTGCCAATTTCCAGGCCTCCGACAAACAGGAGTATACAGACACATGGCTATGCAGATGCATGCGTAGATGCCACCAAAGACCGATACAGAGGTTCGGGGCAATGGAAGTAACGACGGGGCAACCATCGGGGCAACCGTTTCTATCCATCGGGCACCCTCTCTCGGGCTCTGGAACTATCGCTCTATCTGCCGAACTGTATACACGTACATACTATAAATCAGCTGATGTTTCCAGCGAACCCCAAAAGCGCCCAACGAGCGAATCCGAATAATCGACTGTTCAATTCACACCTTGCACACCTCACTCACCCGCTCTGCCCAGCCGTCACGGGCATTGTGCGCGCAAGTGTATGTTTTTTCTTGGTCGGCGCCACGAAATACTGCGTATGTTTGGTTGGTTATGTTTTTTTTTCTGGTCTGGGAATCAACGAAACGCTGCGTATGTTTGTTGTTTGGCTTTTTGGGGTTTGGGAAGCGGCAGCGCTCGTCGAGGCGTCCCGCCCAGCACCACCGTTTCTGAACCTGCAAAACGCAAACACACAAACACAACACATACTCAACAATGCATGCCCTCGGTGTCACGAAATGCCGCGTATGTTTGTTGTTGTTTTCCTGGTCTGGGAATAAACGAAACACTGCGTATGTTGTTGCTTGTCTGTTTTGCTTTTGGGGAAGTGGAAAAGCCCCAGCGTTCCCCGCGGCCTTCCGACCAGGAAGCCTCCATCCCAGCATCCCAAGCCCCCCAAACCGAAAAACAAAAACACACACGCAATGTTTCGTTTATTCCCAGGCCCGGAAAACACAAAACACCAAATGATACCGGAGAAAAGCCCCAATCATAATCTTTTTAGGGCTTTAGGGCTATGGGGCTAGAAGGCTACGGGGCTAGAAGGCTATGGGGCTGTAGGGCTATAGGGCTACAGGGCCATGGGGCTATAGGGTTATTGGGCTATAGGGTTATGGGCCTGTATGGCTATAGGGCTATAGGGCTATAGGGCTATAAGGCTACAAGGCTATAGGGCTATTAGGGCTATACGGCTACAGGGCTATATAGCTATATAGACCTACCAGGCACCTGGGCACCGGGGCACCCGGGCACCCAGGCACCCGGGCACACGGGCACCCGGGCACCCGGGCACCCAGACACCCGGGCACCCAGGTACCCGGGCACCCGGGCACCCGGGCACCCGGGCACCCCCGGGCCCCTGGGCACCCGGGCGTGCGGCGAAAATCGGCGGCAAACCTGACCTAACTATCTGAATCCGCTAGGACCCCTAAGGAGGCAAGCTCTGATTGGGGAACACACGCAGCGCTTCGTGGCACCAAGGTGCGGAACGCAGCGCATGTCTTTTTCTTTTACGGCCTGGGAATCAACAGAACACGGCGTATGTTTGGTTTGCTTGGGGGGGGCGCTTTGAAAGGGCCCCAACACTCGCCGCGCCCTCCCGACCAGGATATTTCCAACATTTCGTGGCACCGAGGGCAACGTCTGCTTGTCTGCGCAAACATCGAGGCCTCGTGCCTGCCTCACTGGCAGCGCTTGTACGAAGGCAATCCTCTGCCAGAGGTAACCTGTACAATAGGAATGCCGGTGCAACTCGTGCACTATGAATCCGATTCTAAACTGGGCAGTAGGAAACCCAGCGTGACCTGCACAATAGAAGTCCTATGGCAACCTGTGCAGTAGAACTATCCCCAGAATCTGTTCTGAACGCAGACGAACCTGGCCAGCAAAACAAGCAAACCACTCGAGACATCCTCGCAAGCTGGGCCCCCTGGGCTGCGACAGCCAGCGTCTGGCCCGAGACGTCCGCAAGTTCCGCTTCGAACGCGGAAGATGCCGAGCATGCAAGCAGTCAAACCGCTCGAGGCATTCCCGCAATCTGGGCGAGAAACGCAAGAGTGAGATACACTCTGGCGGCTCCCCCCTGGGGTGTGCTGAATCCAGCACCCTGCCCGAAGCATCCGCAGAGTCTGCTCTGAACGCAGACCAGTCCGGTCAGCAAAACAAGCAAACCGCTCGAGACGTCCTCGCAGTCTGGGCCCCCTGGGCTGCGAAAGCCAGCGCCTCCCCCGAGACATCCTCAGAGCCTGCTCCGGAAGCGGAAGATGTCGAGCGTGCAGGCAGGCACGCTCGAGACATCCCCGCAACATTAGCGCGACCGGGCCCGTGCAACACTCCCTCGCGCCCCCCCCCCCCCACTCACCCCCCATGGGCGTGGGAGCGCCAGCGCCTCGCCCGAGGCATCCTCAAGGCCTGCTCCGAGAGCAGACGATGCTGGGCATGCAGGCAAGCAGACCGCTCGAGGCATCTCCACAATCTGGCCGCGAACGGGCCCGCGCAACACCCCCTCGCGGCCCTTCCCCCCACTCACCCCTCTTGGGTGTGCGAAAACCAGCGCCTCACTCGAGACATCCTGAAAACCTGCTCCACCATCATCATCATCATCATCATCATCATCATCATCATCATCATCATCATCATCATCATCAGCATCAGCATCAGCATCAGCATCAGCATCAGCATCATCATCACCACCACCATTATCATCATCAGCATCATCATCATCATCATCATCCTCATCGTTGTCGTCATCGTCACCAACAACATCACCATCCTGCTCATCATCATCATCACCACCACCATCATCAACACCATCATCATCAACATCATCAGTGTCCTCATCAGCATCGCCATCATCGCCATCATCATCGTAACCAGCATAATCATTATCATAATCAGCATCATCACCACCAATACCAACATCATCATCACCATCATCACCGTATTGGTCGTCATCGTAATCATCATCAGCAGCATCAGCGTCGTCGTCACCATCATCAGCGTCATCGTCATATTCATCATCGGCCGAAAGTGACAACATCCACTAGCATCATCATCATAATCATCATCATCATCAGCATCAGCATCAGCATCATCATCATCATCATCATCATCATCATCATCAGCATCATCATCATCATCATCATCATCATCATCATCATCCGCAGCATCAGCGTCATCGGCATCGGTACCATCATCATCATAATCATAATCATCATCCGCATCACCACCATCATCATCACCATCACCATCATCAGCATCAGCAACAGCATCATCAGCATCATCAGCATCAGCATCATCAGCATCAGCATCATCATCGCTACAAACATCATTCCATGACCTAACAAATGACCTTGAGCGTGATTCTGGTTGAGGTTGAGGAGACAGAGCAGGAGGAGGAGGAGAAAAGTGAGTGAAAGGAGTCGGCGCGGTCGGAGTAATAACGACAACCCAATCCTGTGGATATGGGGAACAATAACCCCAACAGTAAGGTGTGGGGACAAGAAACCCATCCTTTGGATATGGGGAGTCATCCCCACCGCGACGACGACGAAGACGAAGACGACGACGATAACGACCACGAGGAGGAGCAGGAGGAGGACGGGGAGCAGGAGGAGCAGGAAGAGGCGCAGGGTGAAGAGGAGGAGTCGGAGGAGGAGGAGCAGGAGGAGGCTGGGTGAGTTTGTTGCCTGCCGAGAGAAACAGGAGGGGGGGCCCAAACTGAGGAACTCCTGAACTTGTAGAGGGATCGTTTTGCAACTGCGACGAGATGAACGAGAGTATTGTGAGTAAGAGCGACGTCTTCGGCGACGAATGTGTCGATGTATAGTTCGGGGATGGACAGACCTCCCTTTAGTAAAACGTGGTTTAGTGAAAACGACCTGAGGCCCAAACCTAGCTGGCGTAGGCCTGGAAAATAACGGCCACGGCGCCCTCTCGAGAACCGAAAACGGACAATTCACTAATCGACGTGTCACTGTTGGGGTTCTGCCCGCCCCCGAATAGTGCAAGCCTCCCACAAACGTTCTCAGCAGTCCTCTGTCCCGCCGGGCCGCCCCTCGCCATCGCTCGGACGTCCACTCCCTGGGCATTTTGTCGGTTTCGTGCGTGTTTTTTTGCCAAATGATCCAGGATGCTCCTAGATGGTCCTCGCCGAAGGAAACATGCACACGTCCGAGCGATGCCGCCGAGTTATTCGCTGGGGGAAATACTCCCAAAAATTATCCGGCACGTCGAACCAGTAGTGGGAAACTGATCGGTGGCCCGCGACGCGGGCGCTGACGACTAGGAGGAATGAGACGAGGGGGACAGGGAGGAGAAGGAGCAGGAGGAGGGGAGAGGAGGAGAAGGAGAAGGAAGATGGGCGAGTCTGTTCCCCGCGAGGGGGGGGGGCCTCAAAACGAAAGACATCCTGAGGTTACGAGGGAGGGTCTCTTCGTTGTCTTGGGAGGCTCCTGGTTTTGCGTTGGGCCACGCTCGGGGGCGCATCGAGGTTTGCTGAGGCTTGTTGGCGGTCCCCAGGTGCTGTCTCGAAAGGCCTGGGAAGGGGCAAAGTGGGAGGTCAGGAGGAAACGGAAGGTCTGGGAGGGCAAGGGAGGGAAGAGGGTGGTAATCGATGGAGCCGTCATCACTGGCCAGTGGGATCTGAGGAAACCGGTAACCGGCGTCGAAAAGCTCTGAAAATGGGATCAAGAAGGTCCACATGACAAGGCAGAAGGGCCCATGGGCAGCCAAAGAGGAAGAGGTAAATGGGAAGGAGCGCAAGGTGACTGCAAAGAAGGCCAGCCGGGGGTTGCGAACCTCCCAGCGCACCGCCGGCAGGCAACGTAGCAAAAAGAAAGCCGCACTGGCTTGAAACACGATAGAACTGTTGCGATTGCAGTTTTGTCATGCGCCCAGGTCGGCAAAAGACTGCGTTCTTGGCAATTTCTTGGAAACCTCGGGGGGTCCACGTGGAGCACTCTTGGGGCGTTCGGGGGCCTGTGGGGGCGTCTCTCGGCGTCTTGGAAGGCTCTTGGACCGTCTCGGAAGCCTCTCGGATGATCTTTGAGGACGCTTGGGGCTCCCCCTGGGGACCGAAATAGAAATAACCTTTCCGATCTTGGGTTTCTCTAGGCTCTAGGGCCATCGTGGGCCTTCCTGGACGCCGTTTGCGCCGTCTTGGGACAATCTTGGGCGCCTCTTGGGCCGTCTTGGAACGACCTTGGAGACCTCTCGGGCCGTTTCGGAGGCTTGATGGACGATCTTGGAGGCCACTTATGGCCCCCCTGGCCCGTCTTGGAGGCACCAGGGATGGGGGTGTTCGAATTTGTTCCCCCGATGGTTGCACAGTGGTGGGCCCCAGGTACGGGCGTGTGTATCTATCGATCGATCGATCAATCTATACATATGTATATATACATATTTATATATATGTGTGTGTGCGTATATGGGTAACTCTATGTACATATACATATAGGACATGCCTACCTACATACCTACATACACACATACCTACATACCTACATACCTACATACCTACATACATACATACATACATACATACGTACGTACATACATACATACACACACATAAACGCACATACAAACGCATACATATATGTATATATACACATACATATTTGTAATGTGGATATATCTGGCTGCATCCACAACCACATATAGTTACACAGGTACACGCACGTGCCTATAAATGTGTATACATTTGAATTAATATATGTATATATATATATATATGTACGCTCATGCATTTATGTGTGTAAAATGTATATATATATAGATGCCAGTAGACATGCATCCAACCGTGTAGACACATGTATATACCTACACATGTGTCTGGTACATATGTTTATATATATATATATGCATCCAAATCGTGCATAGCTGTACGCATGAGATGCACGCGTGTATACAACACTATGCATGTTTATGTGTCTATACATGTCGAGATGCGTGTGCCAATGTGAATACGAATAGAGAGAGGAGAGAGAGAGAGAGACAAAGAGAGAACTAGAAAGAGGGATAGAGAACAACATATACGCGCACGATGACACACACATATCATATATACACTCATCAATATACATTAATATGCTGACGTGATTTCTCTCTGCCTAAAGGCCGTCACCAGGACGGCCCCCCCCGTAACGTTCGGCGCTGGCGGAGCCTGGGAGTGCTTACAGTCTTCCAGCTACCAGGGACCACTCCCAGGAGCCGCGGGCGCAGGACAAAATGTCACTGGGCCCACCCCTCTCCTCCCCTCTCCTCCCACCCCTCTCCTCCCCTCTCCTCCCCCCCTGGTGACACACACTATGCCGGGAAGATAACACATCTGGCTCCATACCGAACGTCAACTATCTAAAATCGCGGTCTGTTTTTGGCCGGAATCTACGTCCGGGTCCCGGGGCACACACGGAACATCTATCTGGAATGGAACAATAATCCAAACGGACTCTGGAAGGGGTCTTGGGACCGAATCCGGGCGGACCTCATGAAACATGTTCATATGTCGATGGTCTCGCGGTCTGGAATCTGTGGCGCGATCCTACGGGTGCGAGGTCCCACGGATGCCACGGATTCGTTTCGCGTGGAACGTTCGCACAACGCCGCCCCGGACACACTGGGTCGCGGCCGGGGAGTCCAGACCGCGAGGCTGTGGACATTGATCCGGTTCACGGTTCCCGCCCACGACATTCGGGTGTCGCTGGAAGTGGTCCCGAGGCGACCCCCGCTCTTCAGAACACGTCGGAGCTCCCGGAGGCCCTGTGGGCCCCCCTGGGAGAGATGCGGCCACCTTGGGCCAAAGCCACCTCTGTCAACCCCCGACCCAACCCGCGACCCAACCGCGACCCACCCGCGACCCGGCTGCGACCCGCCCGCGACCCAGCCGCGGCGACCCACCTGCGACCCACCCCGCGTGCTGCATGATAGGGATAAGAGATACAGGAAGGTTTGGGGCACGTGGAGGAGTGGCAAGGTTGCGTTGCAGGGGCGCTGGATCGGCCACCAAATTGGGCGCCCGCGTTATCCGGGGCAACTCGGGTCCGGGGTAACTCGGGCTTGGATTCCCGAAAAAGGAACCCGAGTTAGCCCTGACCCGAGTTGCCCCTGATGATTCGGGGCTCTGGACGCCCGAGTTATCCGGGGCAACTCGGGTCCGGGGTAACTCGGGTTTGGATTCCCGAAAAAGGAACCCGAGTTATCCCTGACCCGAGCTACCCCTGATGATTCGGGGCTCTGGACGCCCGAGT